CACTCAGCCAGCCTAATCTGCCGAGGGCTGGGACAGAAGGCACAGACATGCCTGTTTCTAAACAGAAATGAGTGTTCACTCATGACCATAAGAATGTTAACAGCCCCTGGACTGGACGGGGAGAAAAGGTTGTTAGTCATCGGTGTCAAATGTAAGCAGGGTCTGGCGGGCCGACCTGTTTGGTTGCGGCATGATGCCGTTCCTGTTCCTGCTCCTGTCCTTGAGCCTGCAGCTCATGCTCCATGTGCTGGATGTACCGAGCAAGGCAGTGGCAGTGGAAATAGTGGTAACAGGGTGTTTTTGTAAAGGCCTCGTTCTCCTGGAGGGAGTATGGATACAAGGCACTACATCAGAGCTCTCCCATGAGCCCTCCATTGCCTACCCAAGCAGACCCCAAGTCACAAGAGAGACCCACCTGGAAACCATAGAGGCAGATGACGCACTGGCCATGTGGGATGTTGTTATCTGTGAGAATTTCCTTCCCTTTCTGAGAGGAGAGAAGACACTGTTCAAACAGGGAGGCGGCAGCAAGAACTCTGAGCACAACCTGTCACTACTCCCAGGAGTAACTGGTCTCCCACCACATTGGTCTGTTACCTCGTGTGCACACATTTCTGTCTTGGTGATGCTCCCTCTGCTTGGAATCAATCCTGCTCTAAGTCCGTGACCCTCATCCAACTGCCAGATTCAAAATCCAATTTGTTTTCCCACTCATTTAGCCACCTTCAATAGCTCGAGGATGAAAATAATGTATCTTAGAGAAAAAAAGTGTTCAGTGAAAACACATCTTCTAGGACGCCTTTCTTGGTTAGCCCCCTTTGAAATCATTGCCCCAGTGAGTTTGTTCTGGAATAGGCTTTCAGAAAGAAAATCAAGGAACAGAGAACTCAAAGGCATCAGGTTGAGCTATCAAATATGCATTTGCACTGTTATTACAATAGTTAATACTTTGGAATTCCACAAAGTTCAACACTGCTTTGTGGAGGCCTGACTCAGGAGTGCTACAGTGGCCTATGCACGCACTCTCTGACACCAGACCACCCAACTTTATTCTTTTCTGAACATTTCTCTAAAAAACTCAAAGTAGAGAAAAACGAGACTATACTTAATTGTGTGTTTTTTAACCTCAAACAGCAAAAGTGACCTTTGTATGTTAACCTGTAGTTCTAGGTGGTGCTTCCTGTGGATTTCCTTCACTAGGAGAGAAACTCTGTACAGAGCCATGACTCTGAGTCAGCTCTAATGGCAGACTAGCCTTCAAATGTTCATTTGTGGCAGAGACCCTCCTGGTCTCTTGCTACTTTCAGTCGCCAGTGCCAAGAAAACAGGAAATGCACTGAAACTAAAGCAAGACTAATGCAAGTTAAAGAAGAAATGCAATTTTCTATCAAGATGCTGGAATAGGCAACGTGAGAAAGCTATAGAACTGTCCTGTTGGGAGATTTTTCTGAAGCAGAAGAAAGTCTTGTCTTTCTGGATTTAGACCTTACCAAAACAAGGACTAAATGGATGAACACAGACATATTCATGATTCTAGGCCATGGCTTCCCTTGAAAGAAAGGACATCTCCCCAGGCTAGACTTCTTACCTCGATGAGCTCATAGAGCATGGCAGTGCCCAGCCCAGCCTTGGCTACATGGCCCAGTGCCTGTGAAATCCTGGAGGAAGAAGGCAAACCAAACATTAGGCCTGCTTCCTTCCCTCCCCAGACTGAGCTGTATTCTGAGTTTCCCCTGCTCTGACCAGCCTGCTTACTTGTGGATCTGTTCATCTGAGAGTCCTCGGGGGTTACGAATAGAGATCTGTGGCACCTCATTGGGATACTAGTAGTAGAAAACCAAAAATTACTGCTAAAGCACCCCACCCTAGACCTGCCCCCTTCCTCCCTTTGCTGCAATAAGGTAGGGACCTCACCTGTGCTGGGACCTGAAGCACCAGAGTGAAGCAGACATACTGTGAATCCTGGTCTTCGGCAGTGGCAGGGTGCAGGGTGATGTAGACCTCCCACGGCGAAGATCTGTAGGTGGATGAAGTGGAGACCTGGGATGTGACTGGCAAGGGCTGGAGGGCTGGGGAGGTTGGGGTGAGGTAGTAAAGCGGGCAGAGGGAGTAAGCAACAGGCTCCCTCTGTTTTTGGTGGTGGTGAGGGAATGAAAGGAATAGTCTTTACACGAGAGAAACATTTTTGAATCAGAGCTCACAGATTCTGCATGGAAACATCTCATTTCTAAGGGGACTCATGTCTACCTCTCCTGGAATACGCACCTGCCATTTCCTTTAATCACTTGTAGTTCATCCAGATAGATGGATTCTAACACCTCGATTTCAGAGGGAAGGGCCCTAGAGAGACAGAGTTTTAGAGATCATTTCTGCCAACAGACGAGGAAACAGGTTCTCAGGAAGGTGAAATTATGAGCCCAGGTCTCAAGGCCTAACAGGCAGAACTCAGATGAGAACCTGGTTTCCTGACTCCCTATTTAAGTTTTGTTGATTGTTCCTTAGTGGCCCTCAGATCATCCTTCCTATTTCAAACAAGATTCAGTGAAATATGATGTCCATTGATTAACATCAAGGTTACCAATACCACTCTTGGCTTTCCCTAGACTACTGTGCATGGGAATCACAGTATTTACATATACTGCCAATATTAATTACCCTAAACCTTCTCAAAGGAGATACCATCTGAACAGACCAAGGTGATATAAAAGCTGTGTTGCTGTGTTGTAGTGGAAGAGCCATCAGCCTTAGAGTCAATAGATACCAATCACACAGTACCCATGTGATCTGAGTAGTTACTTATCTCTGTAAGCCTGAGTTACCCTGTCTAACATATATAAATAATGCCACCTACTCTCTAGGGTTATTGTGAGGACGAAAGGACTTTCTTTATGTAAGATATCTAGGGACATCTTGGCCATAGTACCTAGCCTATACTTGTATATAACCTTTTCCCTTAAAAGGGAAGAAGAATATAGTTAGTATTCGGTGTATTTATGACCCTGTTGTATCAACCTGTCCAGCTCAGGATCCAGTGGTCCTGATGTAAATCAGAGGACACACATTTTTAATCACAGAAACAGCAGTCATAATGACCCTAAAGGCGACATTGATAATACACTAAAAGATGCATAATTGGCCTGCTTTCTTACAGGTATATTGTTCCCTCTTCACCAAGAGCAATGCTGCTCTTAGCATGACTTTTTATTAGTGGCTCTCAAAACTTTCTTTTTTTTTTTTTGTTAATCCTCATTTCTATTACTTTTTCAGAGAGAGTGGAAGGGAGGGAGAAAGATTGATGTGAGAGACACATCAATAGTTGCCTCCTGCAACTGGGGGTGGGGAGCGAACGCGCAACCCAGGGTCATGCCCTTAACCAGGAATTGAACCCTAGACCCTTCCATGCAAGGCCCAATGCTCTAACCACTGAACACACGAGCCAGGACTCAAAACTTTTTTTTTTTTTTGGTCTCACAGCATCACAGGCTAGCTGTGCAATCACTGCTGCTCTCTCCATGCATCAAAGTGTCTCCCCAGAATCATAATGTTCCCCTGAACAGGCTGAAAACCATGAGTCTAATGATTTCAATAAAGGGCAGCACTGTCTAAGCTTTCTGAATCAATGAAACACTGGGGTGTAGCCTCCATCAAGAGGCCCTTCAATATTTCACTCAGTCTATCTGGGACTTGAGCCTTGATGTGAAGTATGGGGTGGGATGGCGGTAAAGTTGTGACCAAAAAAAGGGGGAGGGGACTGTAGACTATCCTAGTACTAAGGATACAGGATTTGGAATCAGGCACTCTGGATTCCTAGTCATAACTATGTCCCTTTTGGCAAATCATTTACCTGTCAGGCTTCATGTAGTCTCCTCAGATGCCTACATCTCAGAGTTATTCATGAAAAGGAGGCCGATGTATGTTACAAACCCCTCATGATCCTCTCCACTACTCTATGAGGTAGATGCCACACCCACCTTTCCACAGCAGAGGACACTGACTCATAGCACATAGGAGGCCTGGTCGGCATCACACAGCTAATAAAATGTGGAGTGGATCCACTTTGATCCTCTTCAAAACCCCAGAGTCCTTTCAGGTTCTGGTCTCTTTTAAGAATGCTTGAGAGAAGGACTAAGAGAGCTTTTTGTGAAGTGTAAGGCTTTATTCAGACAACAGTCTTCAGTACTCTCGGGGAGAGAGACGGGAGAGGAAAGCCTCGGCAGAAATCGGCTCACCAAGCGGGGCGGGGGACGGGAGCCGGAGGACAGGTTTTGGGAGGTTAAAGAGACGTGGGCCATATGATGAGCAGGCATCCCCCCGGACCCTGAGCAAATGCACTTCAAGAAGAGACAAGGGGATAGGATGGGGCCGGAGGAAAGAGGTTCGAACCAGATAAGGCGCGGCTCGCCCGGGCCTGGTCAGCGCAGATCCCGTCGTCTCTCGCTTAGATCAGCGCCCCTCCACCCACCCATTCCCAGTCCAGAAGCTCTCAGGGAAAGATGTCAACGTCTCTGCCATCCCTCGCTCCGCCCCACATGCCCGCCATACGGACCGTCCACGGCGCCGCTAGTCCCCCGGACCGGATCCAGGCGGTCAGCCAGAGCCCATGCCCCAAAGTTACCAGTCCTCCTCCCCTGCAGCTGCCGACGAAGATGTCGCCATGTCTTCTCCGGCCCACAGCCGGAACCGGAAATACTCTCGGGTTACTCGGAAGCAGAAAGTTAAAGGAATGGCGGCTGCGTGGCTAAGCGGCGGTTGCTAAGCAACCGCAGACTCTGGTCTTTAGTGGGTCCTGATAGCCAAGAGGCGGTTCGGAAGTGCCCGAAAAAGTGCCCAAGGACGGTCCACCGTCTTCCCCACACCTCTGAACGCCTTTGCCCTCCGGACTCTGGCTGGTTGTAGCAAACACTGTTGGTAAGAATAGGAATCTTCTAGAAGACGGGCAGCGGGGGTCGGGAAGAATTTTAAGTCAGGCACAGTATGCAGTCAGCCTGAGGGGGCGGGGCTGAGGCCAGAGCCAGCGTCCCTCGGCCTGGGGAGCTGGAAGCTCCTGGCCTGAGGTGAAGCGGAGCTCAGGCCTGCGAAGCTCGCGCAAGGGGTGTGGGCGCGGGCGCGGCCGGGGTCGCTGAGGAGGTTGGCGGTGGCAAGAACTTGAGGGAGGCTGAAAGGGGTGGGGCTGGCGGAGGAAGCTGGTGGAGGGGGAAAGGAGACGGGATGGGTGGGCGCGAGGTTGGGTTGGGGACCCGAGAAGTCCGAAAAGGCGGGAGAACTACAAGAGGTGCTCTATTTGCTCTAAGATTTCATCTTTCCATTCACTCCACTCTACCATGGCTTTGAGGCCTGGATTATTATGAAAAAGAGGAAAAAGCGAGGTGGCTAACGTGAACTTTCCTTCCATGTGCCAACCAGGCTTCCCAGATGTGTGGAACTGTGTGGAGCGGGAGCTCTTCGCTACCATCTCTGCTCTCTCTCTTCTGAGGAACCCCGAAGCCTCTGCCATGGAAAAGTACCACGTGTTGGAGATGATTGGAGAAGGCTCTTTTGGGCGGGTGTACAAGGGTCGGAGGAAATACAGTGCTCAGGTGGTGAAAAAAGAGGGGTATCTCTTGGTTGGGATGCCACACCCCCAACTCCAGTGGAAAATGGTGCCAGAAGGGAAGCATTCATACCAACCTGTATTCCTAGGACACTGACTCCTTCGTGTGTAGGGAGTGTGAGCTCTGAAATTGGATACTTGGGTTCAAATCCTCACCCTACCACGTTCTAGCCTTAAAACTGGACAAGTTACGTAACCGCTCTCTGTCTCAGTTTCCTCATCTATAGAGCGAACACAGTATAGTATCTGATTGATGGGATTTGAGAATTAAGTGTAATCTTACATTGGATTACTTGGTACAGTGCCTGGCACCTCATAGACAACAAATAAATAAGTATTATCACTACTATTAATCCTGATCATCCTATGCAGGAAGAAATAAACCACCTGAACTCTATTCTTCTTCATTTTTTCCCTCTAAATTCTTTAAATCTTGAGTTTTTTACTTTGACCAGAACACCTGTCCCAGAATCCACCAAAGGGTTCTGTCTGGCAGAGCCTGTTTCCTCCCAGGGCAAGGGGAAGGAAAGGCTGGGTTAGGGCACAGTACCATGGGGAGAGTGGAGTGGGAGACTAGCAGCTACCATGACAATGGCTCAATCTAAAGTCTCACTTCTGGAGTTCTCAGGCTGAAGTTTCAGTGGTGTGCTTAGGCCTTGACTCTTCATCTTACCTCTGATAGGTGGTGGCCCTGAAGTTCATTCCAAAATTGGGACGCTCAGAGAAAGAGCTGAGGAATCTGCAACGAGAGATTGAAATCATGCGGGGCCTGCGGCATCCCAACATTGTGCACATGCTCGACAGTTTTGAGACTGATAAAGAGGTGTATTTTGGCTTGGGGTCACCTCTCCCCAAGAAGAAGCGTCCCAGGAACTTCCCAACCTTAATGCATAATTCTGAAGCCATCAGTGTCTTTTGCCTTTGCCTTTCAGGTAGTGGTAGTGACAGACTATGCTGAGGGAGAGCTCTTTCAGATCCTGGAAGATGATGGAAAACTTCCTGAAGACCAGGTATGTTTCCAGGCTCAAACTTCTCCCTACCCCTGACTCTCTTCAGGTTAAGGACTGGCAGGGAAAGCTGAGGGCACTGAGAGTCTGCATTTTGAAAATTCCTAAGAAAAATATAAGAATCAGTGTATATAGAGAACATGTGGTATGACAATGAAGTATATCAACCGTGAAGCCAAAAATCTTTGAATACAAAGGTTGGCTCTGCCACTTTCTAGCTGGATCCTCTTGGGTAAGTTATTTGAACCTCTTTGTGCTCAGTTTCCTCTTTCTGTTTAATTGATGATTGATTGATTGATTGGTTGATTTTAGAAGGAAAGAGGAGGGTAGAGGGGGAGAGAGAGAAACATTGATGTGAGAGAGAAACATTGATCGGTTGCCTCCTGCACGCACCCCAACTGGGGATATAACTCCCAACATAGGTCTGTGCCTACAACCTTTCGGTGTATGGGACAGTGTTTCAACCAGCTGAGCCACACCAGCCAGGGCTGTTTCTTCTTTTTAAAATGGAAATAATAATGTCTATCTCATAAAGCTATTGTGGGGATTAATGAGTTAATTCATGTAAAATGGTTGAAGAGTTCCTGAAACACAATATTCATTGTAGTTAGCTATTATTAGTGTTGGGTGCCATTAGGGAAGAAGGGCTAGTAGGGTGGTACCAGAGAGGGCAGGAGGGTATGAGGGTTATGGTTAAGGCAAGATTCACCACCAAGTCACAGTGGTTCATAGTGGGATTTGATTGAACACATTTTCCAGCCACACTTATTCTAGGGGTTTTCCTGTTCTCTAGCAAGTAGGCCCTCCTCAGGACTTTCTGTTGCAGCATTGTATTTTCTTATGAGCACTCATCATCATTGGTAATTCATCATCTTATTCCTTTTGTCTGTCTTATTTCTTTGATTGCTTCTTTTTAAAAAGGGATTTTGCCTTAATAACAACTAATGCATATCAAATGCTTACCAAATGCCAGGCACCATTCTGAGCATTACATTACTTTACATGCTTTAACTCATTTAATTCTCATAATAATCCTATGAGGTAGAGGGTTTGATTATTGTCATCTTATAGATGAAAAATCTGAGAGGCATAAGATAATTTGTCTGTGGCCGTGTAGCTAGTGTGACTCAATAAATTTTCTTTGAATGAATGAATGAACAAATCAATGAATGAATAGGGGAGCAAGAACTATAGAAGGTATTGTGTGAAGCTCAAAGAAAGGGAAGAGATGATCACATCAGCTGTAGTGTCAGGGAGGAGTCTTTGGGCTCCTGGATCAGGCTCCTTCCTCTGACCTATCTATCCTTTCTTCCTCCCACTTGGCTGATCCCTAGGTTCAAGCCATTGCTGCCCAGTTGGTGTCGGCCCTGTATTATCTGCATTCCCACCGAATCCTTCACCGAGACATGAAGCCTCAGAACATCCTTCTTGCCAAGGATGGTGGCATCAAGCTCTGTGACTTTGGGTGAGGAGCCTGACCTTCCGTCTCTACTTCCAGTTCTGCAGGGAGTCCTAGGCCACATGCTTGGCTTGCATGGGCCTCGTTTTAGAACCTGAGCTGCAGACTGGGACTCCTGCTGGGTCTTTTGGAAGGTGCTCTCTCTGTTTGGGTTTGGGATATCTCACACAATGAGAGGGAGTAGTGACCAGGTCTAGTTTTATTGACTATCTTCTCTCTTTACATTTCCATTCCATCACCTGCAGATTTGCCCGGGCTATGAGCACCAACACGATGGTGCTAACATCCATCAAAGGCACACCACTCTATATGTCCCCAGAACTGGTGGAAGAGCGACCATACGACCACACCGCAGACCTCTGGTCTGTGGGCTGCATACTTTATGAGCTGGCTGTAGGCACCCCTCCCTTCTATACCACAAGCATCTTTCAATTGGTCAACCTCATTCTCAAGGACCCTGTGCGCTGGCCCCCAACCATTAGTCCTTGCTTCAAGGTAATGAATATAGAGAGGGAGATTACTTTTGCATTAGAAACTTATCTCCCCCTGCCTCTGTTCCCTTTTTCAAAATCCTTTTCCAGAGTTGGGAAGGACTTTGCAGTTACTGAATTAATACAGGAGCTGGGCCAACCTTGCTTTTGTACTGTAGGGGCTTATTCTGGGAGGGTGTGTCATTTTTGGGAATAGCAGCCCTCCTTGGGCCAGGCTATCTTTTGTCACAATGGAAAGGTGATTTTTAAGAAACCAGAGATAGATACTGGTCCTTTTACATACCGCCTATTCCACTTATTTTCTATCAGATGATATCTAACTTTGTAAACAGTTTTCAGTCCTCTTCTGAAAGAAGGAATCTTTAGCTATCCAAATGGCCAGAGCTAGTGGGGCTATCTTGGTGATTAGGGGAAAATGAGAAAGGTGGTGCCTGCTTCTTGCAGCTAAGTCTCAGTAGACTGGAGGAAGGAGGTATGAAGAGGGGGAGGAAAAAGAGTGGACCCTTTTTACTTCTTATCTAGCTAGGGCAGTGTTTGGCAAACTCATTAGTCAACAGAGCCAAATATCAACAGTACAATGATTGAAATTTCTTTTGAGAGCCAAATTTTTTAAACTGAAACTATATAGGTAGGTACATTGTTATTAACTTAATTAGGGTACTCCTAAGGCTTAGGAAGAGCCACACTCAAGGGGCCAAAGAGCCGCATGTGGCTCTCGAGCCACAGTTTGCTAACCACTGAGCTAGGGTAAGATTTGGACTTTCAGTGGAATTTAAATGCAGCATATAAGTTTTCTTCGTTTTATCTAAGATGAAAGGGGACAGGTTTTCCCCTAAACTACTCAGTTTGGGGAGGCCCAGGTAATTACCAAAAAGAATCTAGCCTGGCAAGTGTGGCTCAGTGCTTGAGCTGCGGCCCATGAACCAGGAGGTCACAGTTCAATTCCCAGTCAGGGCACATGCACAGGTAGCAGGCTCAATCCCCAGTGGGGGGCATATAGGAGGCAGCCAGTCCATGTTTCTCTCTCAATTGATGTTTCTTTCTCTCTACCCCTCTCTCTAAAATAAAAATATATATATATATAAAGAGAATCTAAACAAAGGAAACTTAAGTGGGTGATATACATGAGATATATTTATTCTCCCTTGGGGCAGATATGCAGTTATCTCCAGCCAGAGCCATGGCATACTAATTACCTTGTTTTAGAACAGTGGTCATAATCTAGTAGTTTATATTCCTGTTTCAGGCCCAATTGAGGATTTCCCCAAGGATACCTCATAATGATGTACCCTTTTTAGCGATAGTCTTCGTACCCCTCATCATCTGAAGTCTTGCTGAGAGATTTCTGGTTTTGAGTGCTCCCAAACACATCTTTACACAATGACTCGTGTGTGTGTGTGTGTGTGTGTGTGTGTGTGTGTGCGCTTTCAACCATAAATGCATCTGTTTCTGACAAATTGCAGTCAAAGGGAAGGCAAAGTGAGCAGTTTGGGACTCTGTTGTATGTTTGCTTTCTGAAGATAATCATGCAGGAGACATCTCTGTCTTCTAGTTTTTTTCTCACTTCGTCACAAAGCTGGTGACATTGAGATTTCTGTTTTTCTGGGGTTCTAGAATGCCCGTGGACAGGGATTGGGGTACCCCAGGAGACGAGGCAGTGAGTTCTATGATTTCATCCAGGGAAATGAGGCCTCAGGATAGGGCTAAAGTGGGTGTGATCAAGAGCAGCTGGTCTGGTCTAAGATTAGACTCTGGAGTCTTGGTTTGCAGGCTCTGATTAGTTAGGGGCAGCCTATATGGAAGTAAAGGCTGATGGGGGACTTTCTCTCCACAGAACTTCCTGCAGGGACTGCTCACCAAAGACCCCCGGCAGCGCCTGTCCTGGCCAGACCTTCTACATCACCCCTTTATTGCTGGCCATGTCACCAGTGAGTCATTAGGGTTCCTAGGGCTATTGTACTTCCCTAGTGTTCTCCCCAATTTACCCACCTTCCCCCAGCATCTGGATCCAAAATATATTCCTTACCCCACCACCTTGAACTTTCTTCCTAGCCTTTTGCCTAACCTTTGCCACATCCCTTACAACCCTCTTCCATTTTTGTCACTTTATCAAATGGTCTGGAGACACTGAAATTGTCTCAGGCCAAGTGGACATGGCGGAGCTCTAGTATGATCATGTCTTCCTCCTCTTCCCTCCCTGCAGTAATAACTGAACCAGCAGGTCCAGATTTGGGCACCCCATTAACCAGTCGTCTACCCCCAGAACTTCAGGTCCTCAAGGACCAACAGGCACATCAACTGGCCCCCAAGGGCAATCGATCTCACATCTTGCGTCAAGCCCGTAAGCTCATGGCTGAGGAGGCCAAGCAGAAGGTGTGTAGGAATGTGGGACATATGCAGGTTAGTGACTGGGGTTGCTGGAGAAGGAGAATGGCTTTCTAGGGCGGGGAAAGGGCCACAAATAGGATTTTTACTGGCCAATGGCACCCACTGTCTCCTGCCCACTTCCCACAGAAACACCAGAATACAGGACCTACCCTGGAACAGGAAGACAGGACCATCAAGGTGGTTACTGGCACGACCCCTGTGTCCCCTCAGGAACCAGGCCTCTTGGCTGGGATCATGGCCTCAGAAATGAAGAGCAGCTGGGCTGAGTGGGGGGCTGGAGAAGCCCCCCCTGCACCTCGGTGAGGAGGGTTGAACCAGGATTTATAGGGACAGGGCCCTAGGAGTGTGAGTCCTGGGTTCTTGAATTCAAATTCCAGATACATTCCTAATTTGTCAGGAAACATAGGGACTTTCCTTTCACTATGGCTCAGTTGTACATTAACTGTAAGGGCAAGAATTATCTCAGTACAAAAGGGAAGATTGAGTTGGGAGCAACAGGTGAAAACTGCCAAGGTATGAGGAAGTGGGAGGGCAGTCAAGGATGTGTGTGTAATTACTGGTCAACTTATCCTGTCCTGGCCATATTGTAGAAGGTCTCCTCTATTCAATCCTACATGGCCTTCATTCCTATCCTGGGCTTAGAGGGAGGGGCAAGTTAAGAAAATCCAAGCCTCAAAGGTCTGTAATTCATTCTACTTCTGCTTCCTCTGACAGGGAAAACTGGATCACTGAGGATAGTGAACGAGCATTCCCAGAGCTGAGGCCAGAGCATTCACAGGCTGGCCAGCAGAGCACTGGTGCAGTAGACCTAGAAAATGAGGTGAGCCTGGGGGCTCTTCTTGGCCTTGTCACTGCCATGGGATATTGGGTCTGGGTGTTTGTTTTTCTAGAACAGTGATTCCCAATGCTCCAAGTATGAGCTCTCATGTGTTAAAAACTGCTTTGTTATTATTAACTTAATAGGTTTTAGTTGCACAGTTATCTGAATATGTAATTATAAAAAATTGGAATACATAGGTAAAAATGTAAGTCCCTCTTAAGCCTCATCTAGGTCCCAGAGGTATCTTCTGCTATCAGTTTCATCTGTCTCCTTCCAAACTTTCTGTACATTTATATATATGCACAGCTATATATATAAAAGCCTAAGGGACCCCTTATGACCAGACAACCGCCCGGTCACCATGACGCACACTGACCATCAGGGGGAAGATGCTTAATGCAGGAGCTGCCCCCTAATGGTCAGTGTGCTCCCACAGCCAATTTCCTGTGGTCCCTAATCTCTCTACACTGAGCTTCTAGTATAGAAATATATAGTTTGGCTGTTTTTACATTACTGAGTAATTAGTAATATATATTGCTTTGCAGCATGCCATATGATCTGTTTTAGAGATCATTCTGCATCTGAACATGTAGTTCTACTCAATCTTTTGTGTGTTTTTTTAGGGTTTTCACTTTTTATTTTGAAATAATTTCAAACTTAAAATTTTGAGAATACCACAAAGAATTACTATATATTCTTATTTTTTTAATCCTCACCTGAAGATATGTTTTTATTGATTTTAGAGAGAGGGGAAGGGAAAGGGAGAGAGAGAGAAACATCAATGTGAGAGAGAAATATCAACTGGTTGCCTCCCATATGTGCCCTGACTGGGGATCAAATGCGTAACCTTTTTGGTGTATGAGATGATGCTCCAAATACCTGAGCCACTGGCCAGGGCAAATTCCTATATGCTCTTTACCCAGATTCACTAATTGTTAAAATTTTGCCAATTTGCTTTATGATTCTCTCTTTCCATATATATGAACGTATCAACTTTCTGAATCATTTTAGGATAAGTTGCCCTGACTGGGAATTGAACCCACAACCTTTCTGGTGTACAGAATGATGCTCCATCCACCTGAGTCCCTTGACCAGGGCTCCAGTAATGTTCTTTATAGTAAAAAATTTTTTCCTGATGCATGATCCAATCCATTGTTATGAACTATATTTAGTTGTTTTGTCTCTTTAGTCTCCTTTAATCTGGAACAGTTCCTAGTCATTTTTTGCCTTTCATGATGGGCAATTTTGAGGTACACAGGCCAGTTATTTACAGAATATTCCTCAAATTGATTAGATTCAAATTATGCATTGTTGGTAGAAAGACTACATAAGTGATGCATCCTCAGTACAACAGTTTTCTTTTTTTTAAATATATTTTTATAGATTTCAGAAAGGAAGGGAGACATAGAAACATCAGTGATGAGAGAGAATCATTGATCAGCTGCCTTTTGCATGCCCACACTGGGGATCGAGCCAGCAACCCGGGCATGTGCCTTGATTAGAAATCAAACCGTGACCTTCTGGTTCATAGGTCAACGCTCAACTACTGAGCCACGTTGCCAAGCAACAGTTTTCTTAATAACTTCTTAATGTTTCCTAATATGGATGTGCCATTCTTTAGTATTCCCTTACTGACTGGCTGTGTGACATTTCCAATTTTTTTTGTATTATAAGTCATGTGACCATGGACATCTTTCTAGGTATCTCTATGCACACATGTCAGTGTTCTTGAGACTTTCAAGACCCCTCTCAAACGGTCAGCTATACCTTTTTAAACTGGTAGCTGGAAAAAATACGTCTGTGCTAAAGGAGTTACTGACTTCTTGCAGTTACTTGTGATCCCCCAGATTGGGAGCCACTACCCTCAGCCTTACAACTCCTCCTGTCCCCTGTCTCTCCCCTATGCCTCAGGAGCCAGACAGTGATGATGAGTGGCAGCACCTGCTAGAGACCACCGAGCCTGTGCCCATCCAGCTGAAGACCCCTCTCACCCTGCTGTGCAATCCAGACTTTTGCCAGCGCATCCAGAGTCAGCTACATGAGGCCGGAGGGCAGGTGATGGGCAGAAGAGTACTGTGGAGGGGACTGGGGACTGTTTTCAAAGATGAGACATTAAAAAACATTGGCTGGCATAAGGAAGTTTGTCCCTTTCCAGTTCTTTTTCAGTCCACCTGCTTAATTCAAGGAGATTTGCTAACCTGCTTTAGTAACACAGAAAGAGCAAGCCTCAGGTTTCTCTTTCTGAAGAGAAAAGCATCCATCTAGAGCAGGAATCAGCAAACTTTCTGATGGTGAAGACTTTAGGCATTGTAGGCCTTGAGGCAAAATGGAGGACATTGTGTAAGGACTTCTACAATGAGCAAAACCACATTTACAAAATTTTTATTGACAAAATGAAAACTATAGCTATAACAATTACGTATACAATATTTTCTAATACAGGTATGCTAACAAGAAGAATGAGATTCTTTTCTGGGGGTAACATTTTGCTTAATTGGTATTCATAGTTAGCGTTCCTTCATACAAAGCCTTTCCTTGCGTCTCTGAAACAGTGATCTTCCTTCCTGGGAACTCATCTTTTCTACTTTCTCTTTAAAGTCTTTAAATGATTTTCAGTAAATGTACTAAGATGTGAAACCATCACTATAATCCAGTTTTATTTTATTTATTTTTCCTCCCCCGAGATGATATGTTTATTAATTTTAGAGCTAGAGGGAGAGAAACATTAATGTGAGAGCAAAACATTGATCTGTTGCCTCCCTTATATACCCCGACATAGGATTGAACCCTCAACTTAGGTATGTACCTTGACAGGGAATTGAACCCACAACTTTTTGGTGTATGGGATGGTGCTCTAACCAACTGAACTACCTGGCCAGGGCTTTTTTTTTCCCTACTATAATCTAGTTTTAGAACATTTTCCTCTCCCCAATAAGATCCTCATACTCATTTACAGTTAATCATCATTAGTCTCAGGCAACCATTAATTTACTTTCTGTCTCATAGATTTGCCTTTTCTGGACAATTTATCTAAATGGAATAATATAGTATATACAATGTTTATGTCTGGCTCTTTAGCATAATGGTTTTTGGTTTTTTTAAAATATATTTTATTGATTTTTTTACAGAGAAGAAGGGAGAGAGATAGAGTCAGAAACATCGATGAGAGAAACATCGATCAGCTGCCTCCTGCACACCCCCCACTGGGTATGTGCCCGCAACGAAGGCACATGCCCCTGACCGGAATCGAACCCGGGACCCTTCAGTCCGCAGGCCAACGCTCTATCCACTGAGCCAAACCAGCTAGGGCTAGCATAATGTTTTTGAGGTTCATTCATGCTGCAGCATGTATCTATACTTCATTCCTTTTCATTGCTGATTAGTATTCCATTATATGGACATATATTTTATCCACTCACCAGTTGATGGACATTGAGGTTGTTTTCACTTTTTGGCTTTTATGAATAATGCTGATATGAACAGTCACATGGAAATCTTTGTGGCCATATCATTTCTCTTGGGTGGATACGAATGAATGGAATTGCTGGATCACATGGTAAATTTATGTTTAACATTTTAAGAAACTGCTGAATTATTTTCCAAAGTGACTACACCATTTTGCATTCTCACGGCAATGAATGAGGGTCTCCATTTTCTCACATCCTTGCTAACATGTATTATTGTCTGTCTGTCTTTTGATTATAGCCATTCTTGTATGAAATAGTATAGCATTGCTAATTTCTGATTTTAAGCATCTTTTCATGTGCTTATTAGCCATTTGTGAAATTTCAATTTTTTTGCTCATTTTTAAATTTGATTGTTCGTCTTCTTATTGAGTTGTAAGAGATCTTTGTATATTCTGAATACAAGACCTTTCTCAGATATGTGATTTGCAAGTATTTTCTCCCAGTCTATGCTTTGTCTTTTTATTCTTATGAGTAACTTAAAGCACAGGAGTTTTAAATTTGAAGAAGACCAATCACCATATTTTTCCTTTGTAGATTATGCTTTTAGTGTTGAATCTAAGAAATACTTTCCAAACTTAAAATCTTGAAGACTTTTATTCTCTCTTTTTTTTCCAAAAGTTTTCCAGTTATGCCCTGGTTAGTTTGGCTCAGTGGATAGAGCATCGGCCTGCGGACTGAAGGGTCCCAGGTTCGATTCCAGTCAAGGGCATGTACCTTGGTTGTGGGCACATCCCTGGTAGGGGGTGTGCAGAAGGCGGCTGGTCGATGTTTCTCTCTCATTGATGTTTCTAGCTCTCTGTCCCTCTCTCTTCCTCCCTGTAAAAAAATCAATAAAATATATTTAAAAATAAAAGTTTTCTAGTTTTATCTCTGACCCATTTTGAGCTAAATTTTGTATGAGATGTGAGGTGTATATTGCGAGGGATCTAAGTTTATTTTTTGGATGTGGGTATACAATTGTCCCAGCACCATTTGTTGAAAAGACTCTTCTTTCTCCAGTGAATTGCCTTGGCACCTTGCATCTCTCTTTTGGCCCTTACATGTTGTGCTGGATAACTTTTTGGTGGGGAAGCAGGTTAAAAGCTCTGCCTCCAGAGTAGGACTTCCTAAGTTGGGATTCCACCTGAACTCTTGAGCTGTGTGATTGACTACTTCCTTAACCTACCTAGAAGCTTCAGTCTCCTTATCTATAACTGCATTTGTATTTACTTCATAGGGTTATTATAAAGATTAAGTAAGCAAATAAGTGAAAAGACTTAGAGGAGTGAATAGCAGACTGTAAAGCACTTGATGTGTTATTCTTCTTTCAAGAAGAATCTTTAAAGAATAACCATTTAAAAATAGAATACTGCCCTGACCAATGTTGCTCAGTAGGTTGGAGCATTGTCCTGTGCACTGAAGGGTTGTAGGTTCAATTCCTGGTCTGGGCACCTACCTGAATTGCAAGTTTGATTTCTGGTCAGGGAGTGTATGGGAGGCAACTGATTGATGTTCCTCTCTCTCAATCAATAAAAACATATCCTTGCCCTGGTGGGTGTGGTTCAGTGGTTGAGCATCAACCTGTGAACCAGGAGGTCAGGGTTTGATTACTGGTGGGGCACATGCCTGGATTGCTGGCTTGATCCCCGATAGGGGGCATGCAGGAAGCAGCTGAGCAATGATTCTCATCATTGATGTTCTCTCTGCTCCTTTCCTCTTTCTGAAATCAATGGAAACATTAAAAAAACACATATCTTTGGGTGATGATAATATATATATTATTGTCCTTAGCTTGCAGGCTTTATAAAAATAAGTTTATTTAGTCTGTGGGTTGTAGTTTGTCACCCCCTGTTCTAGAGTTGAATATGTTTTGTGACCATTGTTTTTAATTTTCAGAAGTGTATTTGAGTGTGTGTGTGTGTGTGTGTTTTGTTTTGTCTTTAAAATGAAGGGCTGGAGAAGGGAGGGAACAAATAGGAATTGCATTGGGTCTGACACAGAGATTCTGAGGGACAGTCCCCTCCCCCTTGGTCACTGCTATTATAAGTTAGATGACCGAGTATCTATACTCCTCTTCCCTGGTACAGTTTCCCTATTTCTCTCTTTTCTGGGCTTTAGACTCACAGAGAAAGGAAGGAGAACATCTGGTATGATTTGCCAACTCCTTGGGGACACTTGCTATATAGAATTCTTCTTTTACCTCTGGTAATATTGATTACTTCTTCTCTCACGTCACCCAGATCCTGAAAGACATGCTGGAGGGTGCGTCCTCTATCCTCCCTGCACTCCGGGTCCTGAGCAATCTTCTGACCAGCTGCAGTGACTCTGTTCCCTTGTATGTCTTCTGCCGCGAGGCAGGGCTCCCTGGGCTGCTGCTCAGGCTACTCAGACACAGCCAGGAGAGCCACAGTATTCAGCAGGTAAGCTCTATGGAGGGAGCCTCCAAAGCAGTGGTTCTCAACCTTCTAGCCCTTTAAATACAGTTCCTCATGTTGTGACCCAACCATAAAATTATTTTCGTTGCTACTTCATAACTGTAATGTTGCTACTGTTATGAATCGTAATGTAAATATCTGATATGCAGGATGGTCTTAGGTGACCTCTGTGAAAGGGTCGTTCGACCGTCAAAGGGGACGCGACCCACAGGTTGAGAACCGCTGCTCTAAAGACTTCCAGGAGATTCTTGTTAGATTTCTCTTCTTCAAACGGCCATCTCTATTTGGCCCAATTGGTTTTTATTTTCCTTCCTTCTCTTTCAAGTTAGTAGAGCATGAATTGCAAACTCTAATGCCTTCAGAGACCAGGCAAATAATATCAGTCGGTAAAGTCGACTGTGTCAGACTATGCGAATAGTGGGGAATAAATAAACTGGAGATCTCATGTCCAGTCTAATCATATAGCCTATCCTCAGCTCCAGCCCAGTGTTTCCAGACCTTTTAGTTTTCCAAGAGAAGCTGGAAATCCAGATTTTTATGCATAATTTCCCAATATTTATAGCACTATGCTTTAAGATGTTAAATTCTTGGCTTTCTTAACACCATTTTACAGAGCAGGGTACTGAAATTCGGAGAGAAACTGACTCATATACAGGCTCTAACTTGTAAATGGTCCTGGAGATGATAGTGGAAGAGCTAGGATTAAGACTCAATGTTTTTGGGGCAAACCTCTACTTCTCGTGCTGTGTCCTGCCACAGCTAAGCTGAGAGAACAGAACAAAGAGATGTTTAATGGGATCTGGGCTCAGGCAGCTGGAAAGCTGCACTCTGCTGATGAGTATTAATCTTGAGTGTTTTAAAGAAATTGAAAAAAGAATTTGAACTATTTTGAAAAACGTAATATTCTAAACTCCAAAATGCTGTTCAGGCCAAACAAGGCACATTTTCAGACTATTTACAGCCCATTAGCAGCCACTGGTTTCTTCTAGATCTCCTGTCTCTGTCCAAACACTCTCTTCCCTCTGCCCCTTTTTGTCTGGTTAACCTGACTGGATATCTGATACCTTTCTTTACTGCTTTTTCTATTTGTCTCCATCCCCTACGTTGCCCTTACTCTGTTTTCTTCCTTGGCAGCCATGTTGGTATGGGACCTTCTTACGGGACCTGATGGCCGTGATTCAGGCCTACTTTGCCTGCACCTTTAACCTGGAGAGGAGCCAGACAGGTGACAGGTGGGATAAGACACAGTTTTGTTCTGTTGGCCAGTTTGCTTTCAATTTCTATCCCTATTCTTATTTCTCCTTTAGGAAAAGGCTAAGTAAGGAAGAAGCCATGATTTGTGACAGGTTTAGGGATCAGCTGGCTGCCCCCTCAAAGTCCAGCTAATTCTCTTACCCTGAGACACCTCCAACTTTGCCCCAAGACTTTTGGGTTTTAAGGGTCAGCAGTCACTATACACCAAATTAAAGGATCAAGATGTGAATAACCTAGAGCAGTGGTTGGCAAACTCATTAGTCAACAGAGCCAAATATCAACAGTACAACGGTTGAAATTTCTTTTGAGAGCCAAATTTTTTAAACTTAAACTATATAGGTAGGTACATTGTTATTAACTTAATTAGGGTACTCCTAAGGCTTAGGAAGAGCCACACTCAAGGGGCCAAAGAGCCACATGTGGCTCGCGAGCCGCAGTTTGCCGACCACGGATAGAGCAATGGCAAAGAGAAGGGCTTGGAGATTGTATATGTGAGACTGTGTGTGTGCTGAGCAGGGGAGAGAAGGGAGCATTATGATGTGTTCCTTTACTTAGCTACTCCTACTTGCCCAGAACTGACCCATTTACCATGTCTAGGCTTTTAGTAGAAAGATGAGAAGAAACCATGAGCTCATTTTCCCCCAGCCTACAGGTATTTCAAGAAGCTGCCAACCTCTTTCTGGACCTGTTGGGGAAACTTCTGGCCCAACCAGATGACTCCAAGCAGACTTTACAGAGGGATAGCCTTATGGTAATCTGTTCCCACTTCCAGATTTCTGTCTCTTCTGTCTTTCTCGGTGTTTCTTCCATCCCCTTTCTTATGACTAGATAGGGTTAGATCAAGGCAATACATCAAATATTTGTTGAATGCTGACTATGTGCCATATACAGTTTGAGTAAGAGAAAGTTCCTATCCTCAAGGGACCAGGGGCAGTCTAGTGGGGGAGATATCAAGTTGTAAAGGACAATAGTGTGAAAAATACATTAGAACTTTGTGTAAGACACAGAAGCACCACAGAAGAAGATTAACACTACTTGGCGGGTCATAGAAGAAATCCTGGAGGAGGAAAAAGCCTCTGCAGGGATTTGAAGAGTACACAGAAGTTTGCCAGGTAGATGAGGCAGGAAAGTAGAGAGGATATTCCAGGCAGAAAGAGCAATGTCTATAAAGGCCCAGAGGCACTAAGCAGTGTGCCTATTTCAGGGAACCACAGATGGAAATATTTGTTCTTGAGGAGACTTGCACATCAGTTAGTATTCCCAACCTTATTTGGCTTTTGGACTAGTAAACTATATGGATATGGGTTTTCTCCCCTGGACTCAGGAGTGAGGAACAGGGAAATGGAAGATTGAATGAGAAAATTTCAGAGAAGATTATTAGGAACATTTTCAAGGAAATAAACAATTGCCTGGTCGTGCAAACTGGTAATTGGGAACACATATTTGGGCTACTTTCCTGCCTCTAGCTAGCAGTCCATTCAATTTCTGGTAGTCTGAGAGCCTATTTTAACATTCCTTTCAAGTCAGGAAGCGTTTAATATCTAATGTAAATTTTGGCCAGCAGCGACTCACTCTCAGCACTTCTCATATGTCATTGTGCAGTGACTAGCATGGAGAGTTTGGAATAGATACCCCACCTCTCGAAATTCTGAGAGGGCTGGTTTGGGAGGGACCCAGGAATCCCCAGCAATTTTTATACTCATGGTCACATTGATACTTTGAGAAACATCATCTAGGGAGCAGCTGATCCAAGAAAAGAACAACTGACACCTAATATTCCTGTCCTTGAAATGTGAAGACAGTTATAATGCATCTTCTGTATGAAGAATACTTAAAATTAGATAGCTAGTCCCCCTGGGTTTTCCTCCTCCTCTCTCAGGTTCTCTGGGGAGTCTCGCTCCCTACTCTAAGCCTGGTCAATTTTCTGATGTCCTAATAGTAACCCTGCCTTTATCTCCCTTAGTGCTTCACTGTTCTGTGTGAAGCCATGGATGGGAATAGCTGTACCATCTCCAAAGCCTTTTACTCCAGTCTGCTGACTACACAGCGGGCTGTGTTGGACGGGCTCCTTCATGGCTTGACAGTCCCACAGCTCCCTTTCCACACACCCCCAGGTAACCAGTGTGGGAAGGGGAGGTTCTCTGGACATACTCATTGAATAGGTCCAACTCTGCTCTTTCTACTGCCATCACTGGACACAGTGCCTGGCATTTAGTGAGTGCCCAAGAAATAACTGAACTGAAAGAATGAAGGGGCAACTGAGAAAAACAACTAGACCTACCCTGCATTATTTGCCTTTCTCAATAGGAGCCCCTCAAGTGAGCCAGCCTCTGAGGGAGCAGAGTGAGGATCTGCCTGGAGCCATTTCCTCTGCACTGGCAGCCATATGCATTGTTCCTCTCGGGCTGCCTGGCTGCTGGGAGGCCAAGGAACAGGTTTGAGCTGCAGTTTTTTGTTCCTTTCCCTCCTATTGCCGGAGTGGGGACGGCTGGTTCCAGCTTCTTAGAAAGGCAGAAAAAATAAGCCTTTCTGCCTCCTCTTAATCTGTAGTTCCAGAAACACATGATCCTACCACTTGTAGAACATGATGTAGCTAAAATCCCAGAGGCCTTGATTAGAGAGCTCAGTGACAAACTGCCCATGTGGTAGGGTAGCTGATCTGAAGCTGCCAGTGATACTTCCGCAAGGGCTCAGGATTCAGATTTTCTGCTCCCTTTTGGCTGGCAACACTACTCTGTACCTGGGGCTAACCAAGACCCTGCCTTTTGTTCTCCATTGGCCATGAAGGCTTGGAATGGAATGGGGTCTGAGGTTCCTGGTGAACCTAGGGAA